GAACAGAATACCACATCAGAAATATAACTTGCACAGTGCATGGGGCCTACTGAAACAGGCCCATAGATATCATGGAGACCATAAAATCCTGAGCTGCCCCTGGCAAGGTGGTCTCAGCATGGATGAAGTCCCCCAGAACAACCAGCCTAGGAGTCTTCTATATTACCTTCAATACCACTTCCATCAGCTCAGGCAGAGAACCCAAATCCTCTCTTGCACACCCAGCACCAAACCCACACTCTGAAACTCAGTAGAGCCCTGAACAGGGCATTGAGCTGAGGGCTACAATCCTGATAGATTTCATCATTTGCACCTACCTATCCACTGGGCCTATGGTGAAAGGTGGTAAGCAGTGGGGGTACCTCAGGGGTCGGTTCTAGGCCCGATGCCTTTTAATTTGTTCATTTTTTGGAATTGGGAGTAAGCAGTGAAGTGGCTAAGTTTGAGAATGACACTAAGTTGTTCAGGGTGGTGAGAACCAGGGAGGGCTGTGAGGTGCCCCAAAGGGATCTGTCAAGGCTGGGCGAGTGAGCGTCATCATGGCAAATGAGTTTCAGTGTGGGCAAGTACAAAGTAATGCACGTTGGAGCCAAAAATCCTAACTGTAAATATATGTCAATGGGGTATGAACTGGCGATAACTGACCAGGAGAGAGATCTTGTGGTAGATAATGCCCTGAGAATGTTGACTCCATGTGCGACTGCAATTAAAAAAAAGGCAGATGCTTTGCTAGGAATTATTACAAAGGGGATTTTTGGAATATTGTATATAGTTCTGGTCACCACATTTCAAAAAAATATAGCATTGGGAAAAGTGCAGAAAAGGGAAACTAAAATGATTAAGGGAATGAAATACCTTCCTTATGAAGGAATGTTAAAGAGGCTAGGGCTCTTTAGCTTGGAGAAACGATGATTGAAATGTGACATGATAGAGGTTTACAAAATTATGCATGGGATAGAGAAGGTAGAGAAAGAAGTACTTTTCTCCCTTTCTCACAATACAAGAACTTGTGGGCACTTAATGAAATTAATGAGCAATAGGTTTAGAACAGATAAAAAGAAGTACTTCTTCACCCACAGAGTAATTAACATGTGAAATTCATTGCCACGGGAAGTGGTGGTGGCTACAAGCATAGACAGCTTCAAGAGGGGATTGGATAAACATATGGAGCAGAGGTCCATTTGTGGCGGTTAGCCACAAGTTGTAGAGGAAACACTATGTCTGGAGCAATGATGCTCTGAATTGTTGGTGCTTGGGGGGCAACAGTGGGAGGGCTTCTGGACATCTGGACCTCCTGATGGCGCCTGGGCTTTGGTCACTGTGTGACACAGCGTGTTGGACTAGATGGGCCACTGGCCTGATGCAACAGGTGTTACATTCTTGTATGTTCGTACTATAAAAATATTTTAAATAAAATACTTTTCATTGTCTTTCACCAGGAGGTGAAGACTTTCTTGGGGGGGCGGGATCTGGCAATAGTAGTAGAGAAATATTGCTTCTTTGCTGCCATTGCTGCCATCACTGCCACAGAGTAGGCTTTAAGATGAGTTCTAGCCCATGCCTTTTTGGTTTCATCCCAAGCCTTTCTCCAGTGTTGATCAATCCATCTCCCCTGTCCTTTTATCATCCATAGCCCCTCAGTAAACCAGGGAGCTGCCCAGGCTTTAAGCTCTGAGAGAGGATGCCTAGGAGCAAGTGTCCTACTCCTAATGTTGTTTGGTTGTGTTTTTAATTGAATTTTATATTTTAACTGTATTTTATTTGTTTAAATTTTTTAATTTTAGCCACCTTGTGGACACTGAGTGGGTGGAAAGGTGACATAAAAATGTTTTATTGCTGAAAGTTCTGTGTGTCACAATGAAATTTCTAGGCACCATGCAACCTGGCAACTAGCCCAGCACTAAACCAGTTTACTTTTCATTGTGATACAGTCTTATGGAATATTTTTCCAATTTCCCCAGAATTTCCATTGCTTTTGGTGTAGCCAGTGGTTTTAGATGTTCTTCATATTAATTACATTTCCCCCCCCTCCTCTCCAGAACATATATCAAAGCAATAAGTTTACACATTATATTTTTCCATTTTCTAGACTGTGAGAAGGCCAAAACTTGGCAATCTTCAAAACTTTTTATTTAGCTTGGCTTTATTCATGAGCTTTCTTATATTTGGTCAAGACTCTGTCTGCGATTTTAATGTGCCATTCGCATTTATTTTTGAAGACTCTTTAAAGATGCATGGAGGCTTTTGTAATCTGAATGGATCTATATCTTGCTCTAAGGAAGGGAAACACCCCTTGTTGTAGTTTTTGTAGTGCTCAGTTGAGTGTGATTATGGCTGCGGTGAGGGACACTTAAGAATTAATGCAACATTACAGCTGTTAGCATAATGTGCAAAAGTTGATATTATCCATTTGAATGTTATAAAAGCTTCACAGCTGTTTTGTTCTCTGTATGGAAGCAAGGGGTGCGCATCAAGAAAATATCATTATGACTTTATTTCTGAGGTTGAGGAGGGTACTGTGATTCTTTATGTTCATGTAGGACATTGTTGGCTCAGGATTCAAATTTGTGTGGTTTGTTTGGGTTCCAGAGGTTCAGGACCATTACTTTCAATGGGGAATCTATTGAAGGTTCTGGATCAGCTGTTTATAAAGATAATGGCACCAGACTAGCACAGAACATAGTCCTTCTAATCTCAGGACCCTCCAAATTTCAAGTGAATTGCACCAAGGGGTTCGATTTCACAGACCCATAAAGTTGGTATCTCTTGGCAGCACAAGCATACTTCACAATCAAACTTGTTTGCTTGTGACCCATAGCTCTGTGCGCATGAAGTGTAGAATAAAGGAACATAAAAGAGTGCCCTTCACAGATTCCTGTGGGGGAATGGTGCTGGCCACCAGCATTTTTTTAAAAAATCCTATCTGCATTCCATTCATTTTCCTACTCTTATAATGACTGCCGGGTTTGGGTTGGTTTTTTTTTTTTTGCCTTTCTGCTGAAATCTCTGGGTTTGCCATCTTTCCTTGTTGTGGTATGCTGTTTGTTTCTTTTTACAAAGTGAGGAAGCCTTCCTTTTCAGAAAGTTTCCCCATTTGAGAATTCTGTCAGTATCCATCTTGGAGGACTTTTTCTGGGGGTGCACCAAAAATTCAGGGGCACTGGGTCTGTCCACCCACCAAAGACTCCCCCCAGTTTTCAAGCAAATTGGACCAAAAGGTCTAATTCTACAGGCCCCAAACAAGATGCCCCTAGCCATTGTACTTATAGAGGAAAAAAAGAGCTCTGTCTTTACAAAGGATCTGTCTCTTCTCCTTTGCAAGGATCTCGTTGGAAGGGAGAAATGCCATTGCTTGGGAAATCATTAAAATCAAAGAAAAAAATAAATGCATGTTGCACTGTTGGTAAACATCCAAAATTGGGAGGGATTATTCAGGAGGGGGGGGCATTAATTTCAAAGAGTCCTGGATTTGGATTCCCATCCTGGGAAATCATTGTAGCAACTTGAACCAGAAATTTCTGTGTATATTTGGCTGTGGAATTTTGTAATGCCCACTCCTATTAATTTCTGTTAGCCATAAGTACCAAATTGTCATTTTGGTATAGTGATCTCCAGCCTTTCCAGATCTGGGACCCATCTTTAATCCCAGGCAGTAGCACAGGACCCAATAATCTTCATGTACAAGACAAATTACATAACAGGAAATAGGAGAAAACAGAAATCACATACCAAACACCGGAGGTTTACTATGGTAAGGAACAAGGTAGAGGTCAGAGCCATGGAGGAATCCTTTATACTACTGAGCGACATAAGAAGAGCCCTGTTGGATTAGACCAGTGGTCCATCTAATCCAGCAATGTGTTTCACCTGGCAGCCAGCCATTACCCTGGAAAGCCAAGAAACGGAGGGCATAGAGTCCAGCAAGGCCTTCTACTGATTGTGCCTCCTAGCATTGGTATACAGACAGTTGCTTAACAGGAGCAAGGAAGTCACTTAAAGGAGCCCTTCTGCTCCTTTCTTCACATGTACAGAGGTAAAAGATATGAAGCCCTTGCTCTCTGCACATGTGCACTTTCCAAAATCAGCCCACAAAAAAGTTGGGTGTGTTGGAGCTCATGGTTCAGGATCCTGACTCATGGATTGAAGACCACAATGTAACAGTGTAACCTGATTTTTTTTCTGTGGTGAAATTTGGGTGGCTTCTATTTGCCCAGTGTGGAACTTGGTTTGACACTTGGTGATAATTAGATCTAACAAGAAGGGGGACCCACGATACTCGGGGGGGGGGAGAAGCTCCACGGGAGGAGAAGTAAGCAGCTGCAGGTGAGCCTTCTCCCCTGCCTCCCATCCCCGGCACCCACAGCGAGGCTTGCGCCCCTCCAAGTCTTCCCCCCCAGCATCGGCAGCGAAGCCTGAACTTGGCTCGCCAAGCTTTCTCCCTCCCGGCGGTGGCAGCGGTGGCGAGGCCTGGCTGGCCCGCCAAGCTTTCTCTTGCTCCCCCTTCCCCCCAGCAGTGGCGGCGGCGAGGCCTGAGCTCGGCCCGCTAAACTTTCTCCCCTCCTGGGTGGCGGCAAAAGCTAAGTGGCTTACAGCTGCCGGCCGGCCAAGCCTTCTCCCGCCCCCACTCCCAGTAGGAAGACTTAATTACAGGACGCTTTATAAATCTGATTACATTGAAGGCTTGGCAGTACATCTTGGTACTGCTAATTTTATGTCACTGAAAATTGAAGTGTTTTGAAATGGTTTTCCTCTTTCACAAACTTGTTTGTTTCTTATTCTTTGCGTTCTTATTATGTGGAATCTAATATCCCCTGATAATTCCTCTTTGAAGTAACAGGATCCAACACAGGAAGCAATTTTTCCTCTAGCTTCAGGAAACACAATTCACCAAATGTTTGTCAAATGAATCCACTGTTACTTTCACTAACCCATATTATTCACTTAATGACGACACACATATTTCTTGTATGTCTCATTGTTGCGATTTTGATTCTTTTCAGAAACCAGATGCCTTGACCACAGGAGCAGGGATTCCAGTGGGAGACAAGTTGAACATCATGACAGTGGGTCCACGAGGCCCTCTCCTGGTTCAGGATGTGGTCTTCACTGATGAGATGGCACACTTTGACCGAGAAAGGATTCCTGAGAGAGTTGTGCATGCCAAAGGAGCAGGTTAGTTTTAAAGAATGTACCCTATTTTTCTTCTGCAAATGAAATGCTTAAAGCTATTGCATAGCTACAGAATTGTCAAATGCCATTCTGTGGATAGAAGGGGCAAGAGCCAAAAAAACTTGGAGAATTTGACATTCCCAAAACTTAAAACAGGATTTGAAGTTAGGGCAGAGCTACACTTCATGTAGCAATTTCTTTTCAGTGCTACTACAGTGCAACACTGAGTAGGTTTATAAATCCCTTATCCTAATTCTGTAATTTTTACAATAAATATATTTCATTTGGCGGTTTTTACTCTGGAATTCTTCTTTAAGGGATTTTTTTAAAACAATCATAAATGCGAATGAGAGTTTTTGACAGGATCTGTGATTTAGTATAGAGGCCCAGTGATTAAAGGGAAAAGTCATCCCTTTGGGCAGGTAGCAGCTAATGAAGGAATATAAAGTAGTTCATTCTACCTCCCTCCCACACACACATTTGTGAAAGTTTGTGCAATGTTTCTTCATGAGACAGACCTATTTCTTTTTAAGAACAACAAGTAGAAATTAAAAGTTACGTAAAGAAAAAGTATTTTACGAATCATGTTCTTTGTTTTCAGACAGTATTCTGCTGTGTGCTGAAAATGGGTGTGTGTGGGGGGGTTTTTTACAATCCAGAAGGAGTTTCCTGTATACCCCAGCCTCCAATAAGGGGGAAATTCATGGTTTTAAAATTTAAAAACCACCAAAATTCCTACACGAATCAAGCTCTGTGCAAGTCTTCAAATGTTGACAATAAAACATACAACCCAGGTGAACAGCACCATATGGAGGAACTGACAATTGGATTATGCCCTGCCTGGGGTGTGAGTGGGAGGAGGAAATTATCTGTAGTGGATATGCATCCTTACAGCGGGCAAAAGTAGAGTCTTTTAGGTCTTTTCCAAGTTCAAAGAGTTGTGAGATGAGGGGCAAATTTACTATCTGAAGGTAACATTCCTAGGCACATGTTCTTAGAATCCAATAGCCTACTTCACCTTTTCTTGTCAGCCCAAGAATCGTACCCAAGGTAAATGACTTACTGTCTGTTTTGTTTTCATTGGAATAGAATCTTTGATGCACATCCAAACCTTTGCAACACTGAAAGTAATGCAGTGCAGAGAGCAGTTAGTTATGCACTCCAGCGCAAACATCTCCTGCTTTGAGATATGTTGTACTACACAGCCCCTGAATATTGTTACAATTTGTATGGTATAATTTCAGTTTTTATTTGCTTTATTTATAGTTTGCCTTTCTTACTGACAGTCAAGGCAGACTAAACAGCAAAAGGCACTGCAATCCGTAGGATGTGATGTCTGATAAGCACTGTAATTGGGCCAGGATTACAAAATTTTGAAACAAAGCAAAATTATTAGATGTGATATGTTAAGGAATACAGAAAATGGTATTATATAAGTAGACAATACAGTGGTAACAGGATAGTACACAGTGGAAACAGAAAATGCATGCTATGTACAGTGGTCTAGTCCACAAACTTGTTCTTATTAAAAGCACCTTCCTTGAACCATTCTGTTATAACAAAATCCTGTTATAAATATTTCCTCCTGTACGATTCTGTTTTACATGGTTTGTGGAAAGACAAAAGCATGGGAGTCTTCCTGACTTCCACAAGCTGGCCATTCCACAAGGCGGGAGCTACTACAGAGAGTGTACAGAGAGGGTTTTTTTATCTTGCCCATTTGTATGGTGGCACCCCAGAAGGCCCTGCTCAGCTGAATGAAGCTGTCATGGCAGGGCATAAAAGGAGTCGTGGTTTTTCAAATACAAGGATCTTGTAAATGATAGTACTTTAATTGAATTTGGTAACTGATGGACTGCCAGTGGAGTGGAATGACTACAGAATGGGTGTGATATGCCTACTCTGGATAGCTCCCAGTATTAACTGATCTGCAGCATTATGTAACTGGATTATGTATTTTATTAACATGCATTAAGGCTAATACTGATTTTATGTATTTGTGTTATTGAAATGCACTTTGTTGCAGCCTCATAGTATTAAATGCTGTTGTGTCCTTGAGAAAAACATTTCCCAAATGTTGTAAAATCTCCATGATTTGGAAAAGGGGGGAGGGTATTGAATGATCAAGGCTGCAGAAAATGCGTAGTTAAATATTAGACATGTGGCATGATCTAGAAAAATTAGAACAGTGTAATTTAGGTATTTTAATTGTGTGTCTCCATTGAGAACATAATGTGTTTGTATAACTTTTGAAACCTCCTTTTATACTACTTTTGAACCAAGGGAGATATTTTTAAAAGGCCTGCCACTCCTAACAGTTGAGCTAGGTCTGGCTATCTATAAAGTCCTTATAAAGATTTTGTTATGGACACCTGCTGCTGCTTCTTACCTCTTCACAGGACCAGTAGCAAGGCCAAGGGAAATAACAGAGCTCTGCAGCATTAGGGACAGAACCTGTTTTCTCTTTGAATTCTTTTAGTTTGTGCAGAAGAAAATGTTCCATAGCATAAAAGCGAAGTATAGGTACAGCAGAACACTGATGTTCTTATTAAATGGTAAAGAACTTTGTCTTGCTTCCAATGTGTCCTGTTCTAGCTACCATTTCTGGGCCTATGGACTGTTTGTTTCTGCATCTCTTCAGTTTTGTATAAAAAGTAATCTTTTTACTTTTCCAGGAGCGTTTGGTTATTTTGAAGTGACTCACGACATCACAAAATATTGCAAAGCAAAAATATTTGAGCACATAGGAAAAAGAACTCCACTTGCTATCCGATTTTCCACAGTTGGTAAGGCCGTTAAAAGTGTGCGCATATCCTCTAATTTGCATCTACCGGTATATATGACTTTTCTATTTCTAGATGCTTGCATTAGACTTCTTAAAAATAGTTTTAAGCTAACTTGTTATGGTATCATCTGTTGATATCATCTGTTGATATGATATCATCTGTTTATAAAGTAATCATTAGTAAATAGAGAAGTATAGAAAGAAAATCATCTTCCACTTCCTAAATGCATCACTGAATACACATCCTACTTATCTCTGTCACAGAGCAGTTAATGTTTGTCAGGGCTATTTTTGGGCAGGAATGTGGGGCACCTGGGCAAGCCAAGGGAAGGCATGGGGTGTGGCGTAATATGCAAATGACTTTCTGCTGTTGGGTGTGGCCTGTTATGCTAATCAGTTCCTGCTGGGCTTTTTCTACAAAAAAAGCCCTGATGTTTGTTATTGGGAAGCCAAATTGCCTGTAAGAAGCTGGATGGACCTCTGATTTTGTTGCAGAATTACTACACTTCTGCCTTACATAACTATTGTTAAAGGAAAGAAGTGGTTGTATAATCAGTTACTCTGCTTCTTAGTTCCTAAAAAGCAAAAGACCACAGTCTGATTACACTGTCAGCATTGGTTTTCATCTTTTGTGGTAAAAGATGTTAAATGAGGACATCACACTTTAAAATTTCAGCAAGGTAGGAAAGGAAATTGCGACTGTGCTGTGCTCTTTCTTTGCATCAGGTTTCCTTTATAGTGATGCAGATAGCAATGTACGGGTGGAATCCTCAGTGCCATTGGCTGAACTTTTACTATATTAAGATAATGTTCATTAGGAAAAGATTTGGAGGACAGTTACAGCACAGGAGATCTGTTTCAAATTCCACATCAGAATGATATTGGGGTAGGGCTTGTGCATTCCTGACTTGGGGTTTATATGTTTCTTGCTGTATTTTCGAATGACATCTGTTTCAAGTGTTAGAACTCCTTGAATAGAAATGAGACTATGTTTGACAACAGTCTCTTTGCTTTGTGTCACAGTTGTGGCTCAGTGCAATTTTCACTGCTTCTGCTTTTCATTCTTATTGCCTAGCTGGAGAATCAGGCTCAGCTGATACAGTCCGTGATCCTCGGGGCTTTGCAATGAAATTTTATACAGAAGATGGCAACTGGGATCTCGTTGGAAACAACACTCCCATCTTCTTTATCCGGGATGCAATGCTGGTATGTGAAGAAGTAATGACTACTTGTGGTCACCAGAAAGAAAGTACAAATAGTCCCCATGTGTAAAGGAGTAGTATTCTGTCTTTAAGCAATAGTAATACATAAACCAAGATATTAAATAATTAATAACATTAATATCACCTGATATTTATGGATATACATGATACATAGGTTCATCATAATGAGAACATACAGTTTTATAATATCAGGGAATCTATATATCTATTTCTCAGGTGTGCCCCTCCCCATCTGCAGAAATCTAAATCCACAGATCGGGGCCACACTGGCACTAAATAGGTTTTCCCTGCAAACTGCCTTGCAAAGTACATTATAGGGAGTTACATTTCACCAGAACACACCTACCTCTGGCATGCTCATTGGTTACTGCAGTGGATTCCAGGAGCCACATCAGCCCAGCAGCAGCTGTTTCAGAGCCTAGGAATCATAGCAGGCCCAGTGAGATGGGAAATGAGGGGGAGGGGACCCCCCCCCCCCTGGTGCAATCTCACTGGCCAACACTTGTCTTTACTAAATCAGAGAAATGATAGGTACTACGCATGATCTTAGCCATAAGGCCAAGAATCGAAATTTTTAAGAGCTATTTTTCAAGTCCCAACAAGTGTTTCAAACGCTGCAAACCAAACTAGGAAAGAAATAAGGTACAGATAGGCCTAAATCTAATTTCTGATCCTAATATTGATTTTATCATGTCTGTATTTTAAAATTTTTAGATTCCTATTTATAATTTTAGATGCCATTATATTTTATAATTTTATTGCTCCCTTATCTGTACTTATTTGTCTTCTATTATACTGGTCTATGACCGTAATAAAGAACTAACAGAGAAATGATAGATTAATATTAAATGGGTTCTAATATATGAATATAAATATGTTTACATTTGATGAAATATTATTAGGTTTTGAAGATCCCTGTCTTGTGCATATCATTTGTTTTCCATATCATTTGAAGGCTGACATTGCTTTTATGCATTTTTCCCTTCCTGAAATTCTGTGATAATCCTGCAGAGATGAGCACATTCAGATCCACTCTTTTTTTTTCTTTCCAGGGAATCAAAAGGGCACAAGTTTTAGGATTATTGTTTCACATTCATGTTTATTTTGTTAGGTGGAAACATTGTAAAAAACTGTGTTGGAGTAGGCAAAAATAGAGGCCCATTAAGAGGACCAAAATGAGGTCTGTTTAATAAACACATTTGGGGTAGTGTTTAAGAAAATATTAGCCATATTTTAATTTGTATTCATATCCCCACCTCATGGGTTTTCATGCAGCTAAGAAAAATATCATAATAAAACATTTTTTAAACATAACTTCAGTGGAATGCTATTTTAGAACCAAGGAGGAGGCTTTACTCTCAAAGGCTTGCTGGAATATCTACATCATTTGTTTTTGAATGCAAGGAGGACATTAGCTTGACTGGCTTCTCTAGGAAGCCAGTTTTCAAGGAGGAGGAGCTATAACTGTGACAGGCCTGCCATTCAAATGAAAGAACTCCTGCAGTAAAGCCTCCTTCAAATATCGGACTGCAGAGGGCATTTCCTTAGACAACCAGGGCCACGTATCTTTAGGGCTATAAAGAAAGCCTGAATGTGTGCATGGAACTAGATTTGTTATACTGCCAGTATTAGATGAAGACTCATTTATTCTTCCAGGAAATATTCTTTCTGCACCTTCTTCCCCAAACTGTTGAGTTTTGTCTTAAGTAGCTACTGATCCTGCTTTTACTTCTGTTGCTAACTTCATACTTCAATGGATACTGTTTTAGTTCTTCTTGTTGGTTTCATTGTTTCTAGCCTTTCTTCTACAATTTTTTTGGTTAGAAAGTAGGGCTTTAAGTGTAATTATTACTGAGATATTAGTTTGTTTTCATGCTTTTGTAGGCTGCCCTGTGTTACCAGTTCTGGTTGAGGAGAAGGATTTGCATTTTTCTGAAATCAGTTTTGTTTCAGCGCAAGTCTTGATACCCTTCCACCAGAATTAGAGATGGCCATTTTTTTCAGTAATTGAAGCTTCTGTGGCATCTTAAAAACCAGCCTCCATGCAGAAGGAATCACCGTACTCCTTCTAGGGTTTACCAGAGCACTGTCTTGGGGCTGGATCAAGATGAAATTGGCAGTTGCCACCAACTCTCCCTTCCTGCTGCAGATGCCCCTCATGTAATTCCTCAGGCTCTCCTAACCCTCAGGAGCAGCATTTCATAGAGATAAGTGGACTGGGACAGTTCCATTCAACCATTAGAAATTTTTGTCTGTATTCAACTCATCAGCGTGTATTTTACTGAAGCTGGTAACAGATATCTTGGTTACAGTGGTAACTTGAGAATCTAGGAACAATGCTAGTGTAACAGAGCCTTCAGACTATGTTCTTTATCCTTCAAAGGAGTGTGTCTTCTCCCACAAATCAAGATTGGGGAGCAACCAATTATCAGATTGATTAGTTTCACTAATTCTTACAATCCTATTCAAGCAAGTGGATGCAATATTGCAGTGTTCTGGTTCTCTTCATAGTCCTTTCAAAGAGTTGTGTACTTTCCCTGTTTCAATTGTTTTTTGGTCTCATGAGTGAGAATTCTTTGATTGTCACAGTAAATTACAAATATCAATGCATGGATTTTGATTTATTTCAGGGGCATTTCTTGAATTACAATTATGTATTTTCACAGTGAAATTCCCGAAAGTGAGGGGCAGTATACTAGATCTGATGTTCATATAAATATACTAATTATATTCTCTCTGTATTTTTGTTTGAATTTAGTTTCCATCCTTCATCCACACCCAAAAGAGGAACCCACAGACTCATCTTAAAGATCCAGACATGGTATGGGATTTCTGGAGTCTCCGTCCTGAGTCCCTACACCAGGTGAGAATGGCCCTCTTTAATTCCCTAATAGAGTTCTTTGGTTAAATGGCACAAAACAATAACAGAAATCCTGCAGGTGAATAAACGCTCTTCATATCCGCTCCATTTTGCACTTCCAGTACTCTCTTTTCCATCTACTCTGTGCACCATAAACTGTTCATAGTGAAAAGCTGAGATCCAGGCTTCAGTGAAAATATGAATGTCCCTTCTGCTTTAAAGAAAGGGAGATCAAGATTGGAATGAGACAGAGAGAAAACACTGCTCTCTTTAGCATACTCTGTTAAGAAGGTAGGTAGATCTTGTCTGGTGGGCTACCTAGAACTAGCTGGTTACTGGGGTTATTGTAAAGAATGTTGTATCAGGATGGCACTTGTGCTCATAACCAGAAGACATTAAGTTAGATCCAACTAGCTTTTCCACTGGTGGAAAGGGAAGAGGGAGTCACATGCAAATCATGAGAACAGCGTGGACAAAAATTGCATGGGGCAGAGGCTGTAACAAAGGTTGGGTTATCTGCATTGTTGGGATCAATTGGCGCAGACTAGTTATGCCTTGTCAATTGAGTGTGCTTTTTTAAAAATAGACTGCAGGAAATCTAGCTTTTTTAATACATAGGACTGAAGGTAGCCTATTGCTCCTGTAATACCTTTCTTCAGATAGTGCAAGGATGTGTAGGGGGAAGATACAGAAAGGAAAGGCAGACCATTTCACCCATGTGGGAAAAGCTTGCTAGTAAAAGTATAAATCTAGGAATTTGAAAAAGTGTCTATCTCTACACAAGGGTACAAACGCTAGGGGTGGAAATCTGATGCCTGTCCTTGCCAAAGAGTTCCTCTGTTACATAAATACAGGTGTACCAAAAGAGAATTCAGCTACTAGGAGTTTGTGGTTGGCATATTATAATTTGTCCAGGGTTACCTCTGTAGGATAGAAGCATCTAGTCCTCAGTGACCAGTTACATCAATTTTATTTTTAAAATAATCCAGGATATTTTAGGGTGCTGACAGCCTATCCCTGCCGCTTCCTTCTCCTCCACCAGCCTATCCCTCCTGTACCTGCACCATATTTTTGATTTTTTTTAATGTATCACTGATGTATACTTGACTGCTGGGAGCCAGTTTGGTGTAGTGGTTAAGTGCGTGGACTCTAATCTGGGAGAACCGGGTTTGATTCCCCACTCCTCCACTTGCACCTGGCTGGATAACCTTGGGCAAGCCATAGTCCTGATAAGAGCTGTTCTTGAAAAAGAGCAGTTTCTGTTAGCGCTCTCTCAGCCCCACCTACCTCACAGGGTGTCTGTTGTGGGGAGGGGAAGGGAAAGGAGTTTGTAAGCCGCTCTGAGACACCTTTGGGTAGTGAAGGGCGGGGTATAAATCCAATCTCTTCTTCTCTTCTTCTTCTAATGACTGAATACACACAGCAGCCCACACCAAACACAGTTGGAAGTGCTTTTTTGTGCTCTCACAAAGTAAGGATCTACTGAAAGGCAGCAAGGCTTCCTTGCATGGGAATGGACATTGGATGGGATCTCATCGCAGAATCATGCTAACAATAGACTACAGTTGCAGCATATGATTGAACTACACATTATCTACCATACAAAATAATCTATGTGGTTTGAATTATTTATGTAATACAGTGAATGAGGATAACCTGTATCAATTTACTGCCGGTTTATATTTAGGTGTCATTCCTGTTCAGTGATCGTGGCATTCCAGATGGATTCCGCCATATGAATGGCTATGGATCACATACTTTTAAGCTAGTAAATGCCAGTGGCAAAGCAGTATACTGCAAATTTCATGCAAAGGTAATCACTTCACTTTCCTGTTTAGAGTTTCCTGCTAAGAATGTAGTAGTTATAAAAGGAATATCAGGGTAACAAAAGGGTTTACTTTTTTGGTTCTGTACCTGATTTTGGAAGTGTAGCATTGTATTCCTGGACATTTAGCTTGTTCCCATAAACTGAAAACTTTATTGATTGTAAACTTTTAGATGCTGCAGTTCTTTCTTTTGTTGCTGCAGTTCTTTCTTCAGTGTGATGGAATATATCTGACAGATGTCATGAACACAAATATTGAATATGATATCACTGGTATTTCCCCCACCCCTTTTTTTTTTACTTTTATCACTTTGTGCATTTGAAAAGCAAAGAAATCTTCTAACCCCTTGTTATATCACTTTATTTCATGAGTCCTTACAACCTGCAAGGGTTCTCCCCCCCCAAAAAAAAAGGTACATTCCACTACTGGATAATACTACCTCTGTATCACTTACCTCTTCCCATTTTAAAAAAGAGAAAGTTGCAAATAGTAGCATACTTGTTAGTCTCAGTCATTTTGTAGGAATGGAATAGTCCCATTTTAAAAAAGGGAAAGTTGCAAATAGTAACATACTTGTTAGTCTCAGTCATTTTGTAGGAATAGAATATTCTGCTAGTGTCTGTGTCTACATCATTAAATGTAAGCTTCCCCCCAGTATAGTAACTTCTTGAGCATGAGTCCCCAACATGGTGCCCTTGGGTGCCACAGCACCTGCCAACACTTTCTTGGCACCCACCAAATGAGGGTGGAGTGGGCGGCTCTTGCCTAGCAGGGCTTCTCATTGACTAGGCAGATAAAAATAACATTCTTTCAGTGGCAGCTGCCACCACAACGTTTGCTTTATTCTTTCACGCCTCTTTCCCAGCATATTTTAATCACCTCTCTTATCCTCTGTACTTGTGCTTCCTCTGTATGTGCACGCACGCACGCAGCTCTACTTCCTGTGGCAGCCATTTTGTGGTTGTACCGAAAACAGTAACACACTGTGTATAAACTTAATAAACAACATTACAATGCTTATAAACACATCATAACTGAGCACACAACATAAACATGGATATGTTTTGTGTTTTATCTTTATCATATTTAAGATCAACACACCTACACTATTCCTGGCAAAGATGGTTCTCATATATATTTGCTGGGAAGAGTGTAGCAGTGTTGATCTTAAATGATTGAAGGTATTATAAGAATTCATTTTGATTCCAGAACAAACTTTCTTGACTCTGAAGAAGAAACCAAACCATCTGATCCAGATAATGTCAGTCGTGTACCTCGTGGCAATTGACTAGCACTGTGATAAGGACAAAACACAAAAGTGTTTTGGACAATCGTTTGTCTCGTTAAGTTATATTAATTGTGTCAGTGTCAAGCCCGAAGTGTTATGGTGTTTAGTGTTTTGGAGATTATTACACCATTCATATCTGTGTTTTATGCTGTGTGCTCAGTTATGATGTGTTTATAAGCGTTGTTTTGATTACTATGCAATAACAATCACAAAAGTATAATTTGGTTCTGTTCATTGTTTATTGGGTTTATACACAGTGCATTACTGCTCCGTGTTCCCATTGTATATTTGCTATTTTGTGGCTGTACAGCAGATTTTCCTGTTAAAACCTCATCAAATGCAGACTACTATTACTGAGTCAGTCAGGTTACAATAATCTAACATTTCCTGCTGTTTTACTAGTATCAGCTGAACTTCTTGAATCTGACTGATGTCTTTTATACTTGTAGACTGATCAGGGAATCAAAAACCTTCCTGTCGAAGAGGCTGGAAGACTGGCTTCAAAAGATCCTGACTATGGTCTGCGTGATCTCTATAATGCTATTGCTAATGAAAACTATCCAAAGTGGAGTTTCTACATCCAGGTTATGACATTTGAACAAGCTGAGAGATTTCCATTTAATCCTTTTGATGTAACTAAGGTAAATGCATCTTTTATTCCTGTTTCCTAGATATTGTGTGTGTCTTTGTCTCCTGTAGATCTGGAAAGCTGATCTAAAAATATCTGTGATAATATCATGTCTGTTATATTTTCCAGGTTTGGCCTCACAAAGACTATCCTCTCATCCCTGTGGGAAAACTGATCTTAAACAGGAACCCTGTCAATTATTTTGCCGAAGTGGAACAATTGGCTTTTGACCCAAGCAATATGCCCCCAGGCATTGAACCTAGCCCTGATAAAATGTTACAGGTGACCAGGACAGGCTCTTGGATTTCTTTGTAATACAACTCATGTTGCCCACTTAAAATCTCCCTTGTTACAGTGGAAATAGTGGTAATGAATACCTTCTTTGATGCAATGAATTTTGTTTTCAATTGTTAACGCACACTTTTTACTCTTACTGAATATCCAAGCAAATTGATTATGAGCAGTTTTAATCAGTAGCTGTACTTGGCATATTAGCAAGGTAAGTGGCATTATCAGGAGGCAGACACTCTCTCCCCCCCCCCAAAAAAATATCATATTGTAATTTAATTATATAATTTTGGAAATCCCATTTTCACTCAGTTTGGTGAGTATTGATATTCTTTTCAATTAATTAAAACAGAAATTCTTTCCTACATGACTTTCTGGTGCAGTATCAGTACTTCCCATGTTTAATAAGAACGATAATCATGCCCTTACGGACTTTCCAATATAGAATTCAGAGAATATTTTAAGCACACACCCCTGTCAGCAGCTTCAGCAGTAATAAAGTGTGCATTAAAATAAAAACTGAATTCTACAACTGCTTTTAGCATCTCAGGGCCAGACCACATGTTCAGAAAATGAATACTCCTAGCAAACACTTGATACATACAGTTAGATTCACACAGATGAATCTACATAGCTTTTCCAGTTTGATGGCTTATCTTGTTTGATGGTGACCATAAGAATGTAACTATTCTTCCCAGCTATGTTTCATGAGGAGCACTAGCAATTAAAAGAAGCCACTGTTAAAACTGTTCAAAGTAGGAAGAGGGAGGCAGCAACCTAACCCAAAGAAAAGCTTCCTACCTTCATTCTTACTCCTCTTATCTATTATTCTAGGGTCGTCTTTTCTCGTATCCAGATACTCACAGGCACCGTCTGGGACCCAACTATCTTTCCATTCCAGTAAATTGTCCCTACCGAACTAGAGTGGCCAATTACCAGAGAGATGGATTTATGTGTGTGTCTGACAACCAAGGTAATTTTGAGATGCCCTTTCTTTAAAAAAAAATTATTCTCAGCAACAGCCGCAGGAGTTTTCTGCATGTACAGCATAGTAGGAATATTTTTGATATTTTTTTCATGTTTGGAAGTTCTTAATGGTATGCATACTCTTCTCAACTTCTGCTGACGGGCAAGCATTCATGCCAACACTAAAATCTGTTAGAAATGAAATTGCATCTAGTGTTGCATCAATGTGATTGTACAGTTTCAGTGAATTAATATGAAATCTCAGATAATCAGACAGTTTTATTTATTTATATTTATTTATTTTTTGCGACTTCTACCCCGCAAGTGGGTGCAGAGCAGTTTACAGCAGAACATAAAAACAGTAGAACAATTCCATAGAATAATATCAATATTAAGAATTAATACAAACAGGATTAAAATTTAAATAAAGAATTAAAAATAAATAATAGAGACTTGGCAGTTTAACTCCTCCAGTCTGTGCTGAACTCATGCCAGGTAAAGGCGGTGGATCCCTCTGATGATATAAGTTAGCCACTCCCCATGCCAGTTGGTATAAATGGCGCCAAGGAGCAGCTGAAGGCAGGGGAGGGCCAACCTTATATGATGTCCACCATCTCAACTGAAGGCCTGGCTGAACAGCTTCATTTTCCAGGCCCTGTGGAATTGCAGTAAGTCCCACAGGCTCCTGATCTCAACTGGGAGCATGTTCCACCAAGCTGGAGCCAGGGCTGAAAAAGCCCTGGCCCTGGTCAAGATAAGGCAGATGCCTCTCAGGCCAGGGATCACTAGGCCGTGGGCCAGAGGTGCACAGAAGAAGGAACCAGAGCTGCCTGGGCAGGTGGGAGGAGCAGGAGCCACCAGCTAGCAGGGCACGTGGGCACCTGAGCGAGGAGGAATGAGCCCCATACTGTTGGCAATACAAGCAGGAGACTCCCTGCCAGCTCTGGGAGGGGGGAGGTGTGAAGGAGTGTGAGACTCTGGGGGAGTTGGCAGGCCACTGCATGGGACAGACAGGCACAGGCAGTGCCATGGTGGGCTGTCTGGCCAGCAAACAGCCAGGTGAGCAAGCAAGCACGGCAGAGCAGGATGGGATCCCACCTCCGTACAAGGCTTGTGGTCCCCACTTTTCACTGTACTAGTAGCAATCTGAAGGAAAAGGTGGTGGTACTAAATGGTTTAATAAGACTTGTTTCCTGTGGAAAGATTTAATATTGAATTATGATCAATTATTTGTTTGGAACTTTGTTGGATAACAGAACTGGGAGAGTGTGGTTACTTTTTTCAGAGTATTTAGGAATGGACCATTTTTCCATTGAAGAATGCTTATAACAGCAAACTACTGCATTTTTACAAGAAGAGCTATGTATCGATCATGGCTGAAATGTTTTAGATATCCTCTTTCTCGATTTCATTATCCCCACACATTTGTGAAGTAGTAAATTTTTATCTTTTTTCCCCTAGGTGGGGCCCCAAACTACTATCCAAACAGTTTTACTGGTCCTGAGGAACAGCCCGACTTAAAGGAGACACGTACACTCCTTTCAGGCGATGTGACACGTTTCAATAGTGGCAACGAGGATAATGTGTCTCAAGTAAGCCAAGCAGAAATGACCAGCTGCCTTTGTTTGGAAGTTGGATGTGAGGCAAATTACAGATTAGCATTCTCGCGAGAGATCTATCAAAGACCTAATTTGAAAGTTCTTTATGAAAATTAGATCTCGCAGTAATTACATTGTTTATTCCAAGCTGTGCTCTTCTGAAGCTCTTTGGTCATCTCATCTGCTTTTAAATCTTCAGATTTTTTTCTATGCCAAAGGATCTAGTGGGTTAGATCCTGCAGAGTTTTTGTAGAAGACGTTTTCTTGTTTGCTCCCACCACCACCACCCCTGGCTAATTCTGATCCTGGGAAAGTTGATCCCTGAGGTTGGAGGGCGTGTGTGGACCAACAGGCCTACAACTGGGGAGTAGGGGACTGCAGTGAACCATGGCAAAGGGGCATAGCATCCTCAATTTCTACCTCTTCTATTTGTGCAGTTCATCTGATGGAGGAGGGACAGTTTTACCCCCTTCAACTTATTCACTACAGTCCCACAAACCCCATGCCTGTTAGTTCCTGCATGTCTTGAGACCCAGAAAATCAACTTACCCAGGGTCAGAAGAGGGTGTGGGTGAAGAGGAGTATGTCAAGGATCTGCATCTGCCAGTACCTTCTGCTGACAGATCATCGGATCCACCTCATCGGAATCCATGAAAGCATAGTCCTTAATTGTGATTTTAGTGCCAGAAGGATGGGCCTGTTGCATATACCTGCTGTTATATTTCTTAGTGGCAGAGATGAGGGAATCTCACTTTTATTTTAAAGCAATGCTCAGTTGTTATGCAGTGCAAGACCTAACCACAATTGAAATAATGCTTTTCTTTTTTTACTTTTTTTAAAGGTACGAGACTTCTATTCCAAAGTACTGAAGGAAGATGAACGCCAGAGGCTTTGCGAGAACATTGCTGGCCATCTTAAGGATGCTCAGATATTCATCCAGAAGAAAGCTGTAAGTGTGAAGTTATAACATAGGTGGCCCCTAAACTACAGCAGTCATGAAAAGGTTTTTTCCAGGTGTATAGGGAAAAATAAATGTTTTCAGGTATGCAGGGGGAGCAAAGCTAAAAAGTATTAAGAATATAATAATTCATTCATTGCATCTTTAAAATACAAGAATCAAATGTTATAGAAAGTCTCAGTGGTAGCAAAGTAACTATCCCAGGACTTCTGTTCGTTGAAACAACATGTTCAGAGAAGAGAATTTTTATTTGCTTGTCCCTTCTGAAGTTCCAGGCACGAAAATCGATTAAGAGTTTGTGCTGAAGTAATTGTCAGTAGGGGGTTCCTTAGCTTCCGCATTAAGGCAATTCTTTAATCTACAACATTGCTTCAGTGTGTTGAATAAAAGCAACACAATATTCTTATCAGAGGTATAGTTTACACTGTATCAGCTTCAGCTTTTATTGTGCCAGCTTCTCTCAGATATTTTTTCAACTTTTGTACTGTCTCACTGAGAACTCATACATCAGATGTTCCTGTATGATTACAGGATTAATCCAGAAACTCGTAATGAGAACAATCAGCTGAAGTTTTGAATTTCCACATCAGTATCAAAGGCCATGTCCCCCGCATGACTGGGAGTAGGCTCAGGAGCTAAGAATGAAGAAAGAATAATTGCCAATTTAAATTTCTTTTGCCATTCTAGGTGAAAAACTTTACTGATGTTCATCCAGACTATGGTGCACGCATTCAAGCCCTCCTGGACAAATACAATGCTCAAAGTAGCAAGAAGGTATGACAGCAGTTTCTATTCAAACTACTTTCAGAAAGGTAAAAATATAACGAAAGGCATGTTGACCAAGTGCAATCCCTGCTGTCTAAATTTCTGGGATAAAAAAAAAATCTTACCATTCTGTGCCACTGGCAAACATTAAGCATCTACTGATGGATTATCACATTAGACTATTCAGTAGAATATTTTTCATTTTTAAGCAAATGAGGTTCACAAAAGAATTCTGTTTCTTAGAATTATCTCTGATGAAAAGAACAAATCCATGGAAGTTTTCCCTTTAAAAAGTGACTATCCCCATTTTTTATTATTGTCTTTGTTTCTAGGGGGGTGTTCATACCTATACACAAACTTCATCCCACACTATGGCAAAGGAAAAGGCTCATTTGTGAATGGCATCATCTGTGAATGACCATTAGTTGGTCCCATTACCAAGCACTTTGTCACATGGGACTTACATCCGTCCAACTGGAAAATAAGCTGTGGAAGATGTTAAAATAAGTGGCAGATGTTCATGTCTTGCAGAAGTGTGTCTTGGGCTGGTAGCTGCAACATAAAAATAGTCAAGATTGTAATTGTGATTACAAGTTAATAGACTGATAACCATATGCCTTCTAACATTATCTGTCTATGCAGGCAATAACTTTTAAGTCATATAACTAAAGTGTATTCTACAATAACATGGTTGCTTTTTGCATATTTGTAATTTTTGCTTTTTTATTTAATTCCTTCTGCATCTATATTCTAAAAACAGATCATTCTAATCTCTCTTACTGGCAAGCTGATACCAGTATTGCAGTTAGTAAACAATCATCATTTAATTGTTATTAGAGCAAATTTCAAGAAATACACATATTCAAACATGCAATTGCTTTTTGCTTAAGTACAATATTGATTAAAGTATAATAAATTATCCTGCAAAAGAATTATACACATGTAAAAGCTTAGCTTGCTGTGGTGCTAAAATTTTAGCTTGCTAAGGCTAAGATGCAAGATGGATAACATCAAATGTATTTGAAACGTAAGATGCAAGATGGATAACATCAAATGTATTTGAAACATAATATTTGAACATTGATTTGGATCTTATTTACAATGTAAATTTTTGAAATAAAATTATAAAAAAATGTGTTCTGTATTTTATGTAATACTTGTCTACAAATACAATCTTAATGCCACATTCTATAAAACCCTGCTCCATGCTAATAGTCTTGGGAAGAAGTCACATTGGGACATGTCTTCAATTCATGTAACTTAGCAAGCAGTGGTAGTTTGTAACAAACTTATTTAGCACCATACCAACCAGGTCTATACAATTTCTAGTATAGATCAATTAGTTATCTTGAAGTCTTGTGTAAATGCAAAAGATTGTAAGACTTCCCATCTCCCTCTCAAGAGCCCCTTTAAAAGAGGACCTTCCCTTATAGGTATGCCTTGTAGGACAGTTGCAACCTGGCTATAATGTGTAAATGTTCTTCTTAGAATTTATTTTTTCAAAGGCTGTTTGCTTGCCGTATGTCAAGTGTATCCAAAGTCTGGAAATATGTTAATTAATTTTGAGGCAGAACTACTGACCTTTAGCCTAGGCAAATGCCCAGAGGGATTGATGCCAGTCTCCATAAAATACTGTAAGTTGTACCTGAGCATGTCTCAAAACTGGAAGGGGGGCGATTATATATTAGATACTCTGTACATCAGTTACTCTGTACATCAGCTATTTTCTTTATACAATAGAAAAATGATAACTTGTGGCCATGCTATGGAGGAAAAAGAGTCCAATACTGGAGTTTTCAGCTAAGTGGTGAATGTGTTACAGTTTCATTTGCAAAGATTAAACCTTTAATTCTTCAATTAATACCAATTCAAGGGTCACTTGACCTCTGAAATGTTTTCAGTATCAGTTTCCTGTCCAGCAAGAGTGTTTCAGGTCTTAGACTTGGTATACAGCAATACCTTCAAATCAGGCTCTCAACCACAAGCTTTTCCACTGGAGCGCATTATTTTTAAGGTTCATTTATTTTCTTCATTTATAGCCTACCTGTCTCACAGAGACCCAGCAGAACACAGAAAACAATTTAATCAGCTATCTACATCCAGTAAACAATACAATAAGACTAGGATTACAGAATAAGAAATCAATGCAAACAAAAGAACCTGAAGGCTAAGATATCATAATGACAAAATTGGTTTACAGAGGTAGAAGACAAAGCAGCAAAAGGTGATACATACAATAAACATTGCAGTAGACTATAATTCTGACTGACAGCATGCAGTGTGTGGTGGTTTCTCTTCTAAATCCTCATCTTAATCCAACCAAACTAGCACACTGTTTAGCAAATCTGTGCTCCTTTGACACATGATGAAACAGATATGTAAAAAAAAAGATCTAAATCCAGTTTAACCCATCATATCAACTTTAAGCTTACTTTTGATTGATTGATGGCAGTATAATAAACACAGTTTGGGTAGTGACAAGTGAAGAAATTTCCTGCCAGTCTCAGCATGGAATCGTAGCTTTATCTTAGTACTGATCATGGCAAACCATCACACTGATTGTTGTAAATGTCACTGTTTCCATTTCTGATGGGAAAAGGGAGTCTGGTTGCTGCTGTTGCCCAACACTTGTGCCGGCAGTAGGGACCAGCCCATGGAGGGTGGGAGAAAAAGACAACACAGACAAACGTTCTGGGAAGAAATGGCCACAACTTTACTGATTGCAGGTTCCTCAGCCTGGTGCAGTATGGGCTGGGGACAGTGGGTGCAGAGTTAACAGCTCAATTGCTGCCAGCACCTTCCCCAGCTTGCCTGTTGGGGTGGCAGAGGACTGGAATTACAGCTGGAAGCAGCTATTCATAGCCATCGTGGGGGTGTGGCCAATGCATCAGTCCCAAGGTTGGGTGTCCTGCATCCTGCACCCCAACTGCCAGAGCCATTTAAGGGGACTTTTGTTTATGCAAGGCACCCACCCTGCACAACCAGCACCATGTTTTCCAGACAGTGCCTAAACACCAGCAGCCTATTGTGATAGTTATGCTCTTTTAACTGTGCAAACAAGCATGCACAGTAAATATATGCTTTGTTATGGGGAAGGCAAAACCCTTAGTGCCTGTCCACTAATTAGCTCTGGGTAAAATTCCTTCTCAGCCCTATTAGCCAGCAACCCATGCGGTCATAACAAAGGATGAGTAGCCAAACAGACAATAAACCCTGTAAGCATGACATGGGAGGGTGGGTCTCTGCTGAGAGTTGCTAAATGCCAAGCACTGCTTCAGTCTAGGCTGTGTATGCAGGTCTGTGTGCCCCAGCCATCCTGTGATAGGCTGACCTCTGGGTAGGCTGCAGGAAGCTGCAGGTTGACAGCCAGCACTGAGCCCAATTGCCCAAAGTCATCCTTGTTCTCCCGCCACCGCCACCCAGGCACAAATGATTACTCCAGCTCATGGCTGGAGATCTACTTGTTGCTGGATTGGGGAGTGGGACCGGGGAGGGGAGGCAGAGAAGGACAACACAGACACATGCTGCAAAGAATTGGCCACAACTTTATTGACTACAGGTTCCTCAGGTCTTGGCTCAGCATAGGTGGGGGACAGTGGGTGTGGTTGGCAGCCCAACTGTTGTCACCCCCTTCCCCAACATGCCTGTTGGGGTGACTGAGGGCAGAGGGCTGGTCTTAGTGAAGCCACTATTCCTATCCATCACCATCTTCCTGGGGGCTTGGTCAATGTGTGGCCGTAAGGTTAGCTGTCTGCTTCCCACTCCCTAAAGCCCCTTAAGGGAACTTCCCATTTGGTTGTGCAGGAAGCCCACTGTTGCCCAGCCAATGCCTAAATTCCTCAAGAGGCAGGCAGTTTAGTTTGCCTGGCTCCACTGCCTAACCAGCTCAGTGATCACCAAGGCATATGTTGTTGCCCCCTGTGGAACAGTGTACTCCAGTTTGTAAAGACCACCTTGCTTGTGGGAAAGTACTGGATGCTCAATTATCTCATCCGTGGAGGGGGTACACTCCATCCAGCTGCAAAGACCCCTGGGTGCTCAAGTCACACAGACACTCTATAGGCTAAACAAGGCCTGGAGTGCCTTGGAGAGGTGTACTCCATCTGTTCTGCAAAGACTGCCTCACATGTGGAAAAGTCCCATGTGTTGGATTACCCCAGTAGGTCCAGAGTGCCTTCAAGTGGTATATTCTATTCAACTTTTAAAAAAAAACAACCTGCCTTTCTGTAGGAAATTCCGGTGTGCTCAATAGCCCCACCGTATGGGATCCACTGCAGGCATTGCTCCAAATCATCCTGTGCTGGGTAATATAGGGAGTTGGAAATCTTGATAGTTTTCATTTCTTTGCCTGACAGCACACACATGTAGCTTATCAGTTTTTGTCCTGTAATTTCTAGAGGGGTATTTGCCTCTTAGCAGGCTAATAAATGTATTAGGCATAAGCTTTTTAAAGCCAGATCATTTGACAAAGCCTTACGCATCGGGCACAAAAGGCTGCCCAAATTTGTAGCAGGCATATTTGTTGTCGATGGCTTAGCCAGATTGTGACTATGAGCCATACACTTCGAGAGTCTCTTAAGATACTGAACATAGTTCTGCTGCTTCAGACCAACGTGGCTACCAGTGTTCCCTCTAAGCTGAGTTAGTGTGAGCTAGCTCACAGCTTTTTAGCCTCTGTCTCACACATTTTTGTCTCAGTTCAGGAAGGGATGACTCCAGAGCAAACTAATTGATGCAGCAGCCAAATCGCTCACTCACAACGTTAATGCCAGTAGCTCACAAAGTAGAATTTTTGCTCACAAGACTCCACAGCTTAGAGGAAACATCAATGGCTACCCACCTGAATCTATCTTAAGATACTGTTCAGACAATTTTTCTGACCCCAGACATCAGTCAGCCTCAAAAAGAGAGACTGCTATCTTGCTAAGGTTGCAGATCACAAATTAGTGCAGCCTCACTTAGAATCAGCTCTTTTTGAGAACAGGTTATTAGCTCTTCTTTCATCACCCACTTAAGCAAAACACAGGATGACTCTCTTTTAGACATTTTCTGTTCAGTGAGCAAAAATACTACCTGCTTTTATGAGCAGGACAGCATCTGCCTCAAGCCTTTTTTGTATTATTTTCCCTTGTTAAAACACACAGAGAGAGGGAAACGTTAGAAAATAGCCTTATTCAACTGGTTCGTTTTTAGGTTTATAAGATTCAGAAAGTTAATGAAGTTCAGATATATTCCCAGCTGTTCTTCCTTATCCAATAGAGTTTTAGATTAAACCCAGACTGATAGTATCTAGAACCCCAGGGCTAACTCCACCCCTGGGTATGGCTTCTCCCACCTTACTTACCAACAGGAAAAAAGAACCATGTTTAGAGAGCCAATTGGCTATGGCAACAGGATTCACTATGCAGCACTCTGGGTGTGGGGTTTGTCCCATTACAATCCATTACCTCTTTTGTGGTTTTTCTGTAACTGTAATAGTTGCTGAGCAAAATTGTACTTTGACAGAGCTGTATCAGTAGCTGTATACCATGGTTATACAGGTGTCCACTACCTACCATTCGCAATAATGCACCCTGATAGTGCTTTTGCAATAGCAGTGCACAAAAGAAACACACCAATGCATGGCAGCAGCACAATGTCCCATGATCTACCCTCCACATACAAGTCAGGGAGAGACCACAGCACTTTCTCCCCCCATGACAAATTCTATGCTGTTATGGACAGGAAGGCAGCAATAGACACCTGCAGACAGAGAGCCCAGGCCTACCTCAGACATCACCTTGAATCTCCCG